TTTCTTTTAGCGATATGTCAGATGGATGAGACTTCAACTTGAACTTCGTCAAGATCGTTAGTAAAGATATTACCTTAGTAATATGCCCTTCACATGTTGCGTTTTTCTTTGTCTTGGAGTTATTTGGTTTATTTTTCTATTTTTACGTCTTTAAAGTTGGTTAGTCAAACATGCTTACAATTGTATCTGGCGTTAAGGCAGAAAAACATAATGTTTAATTAATGTATTCTACTTTTGATCTAGTATCTAAAAGAGTGTTAATGAGACACCACGCTCCAAAGTACCTTGTATTTTCGAACAGCCCCATAAACTCAGTTCTACCGTTGGACAGGCCTAGTGTCGTTCACTGATGTTTATGATACATAATCAATCAGTCTGAGGTTGACCACTCTATATTCATCTTTAACAGTAGGACTGTTAGGACCCCACTAAGGTCTAGGGGACCTGGAGACATTAACACACAACAACCAATAATATGAGAGTCAGCGTAAAGGTTTGACAAAAGGTTTATTTTTGTAAACCTAGAAAACTGAACAGAAAACCTTACAGAAATTCTCTGTGTGTGAGGAGGAGTCGTCGAAGGATTGTGCCAAACAAAAGAAACAAGCATAACAAAACCAGGCCTATCTCTACGTCTATCCTTTGAAACCAAAACTCAAACAAAAACCCTCACTAACTAAACTACTCAGAATAGGACAAAACAGAATACAGGGGTGACAACAATCCGCTAACCTAGTGTGTCTTAACATTAGTTACCTACGTGATGAGAAGTGTACAGGGTACCCCAGACTTACCTAACTCCTCCACCTCTCAACACACACACACTTTCAACATAGGTCATACAAAACAAAGAGAAATATTGTCGTTGCAAGGCAGTAAATTGCAGGCTCCTCCATCAGCAATCTACCCAGAGTGAGAGAGCGAGAAGACTTCCTGGGTGCCTCCTTTATGGTCGGCCCTGGCTGCTGATAGGCCAGCTTAGGGTGAGAGGATCCAATCAGCCATCAGACTCTGGTGCACAGGCAGGTCCTGATCAGCTGCTGATTAGCTGTGCAGAAGACAGGGAGAAGAGAGAAAAGCAGGAGGGAAGGAGAACCACACAAGTACAGCCTGCCTGGCACGTAACAAGGACTAACAGTATTGGTTAGATGCTTTATGCAGTATGTCGGCAGTTTGTAATGAAAAATTATCTTTTGCATGCAATCATTTATCATATTATAGACTTGAGAATGTGATTAATGTGTGGATGCAGATAGTATACTGTAGGTGTCTGCAGCTGTAGTGCTTGGTGACAAAGAGAAGATACCCACTGAACACTTACTCATATAATCATTTTCATGTCTTGGTATTTTACCAACAATTTAAACAAAACTAAGCTTCAACATTTCATTTCATTAGCTGTAAAAGCGATTCCAAAAACAAGGTGTTTTGCAGGTGTTTTTGTTCCAGCTCCTCTTATAGTGGGTATCTTTGTGATTGAAGTATCTTACAAACAGCCAGCAGCTGCTGTGTTTCTTCACTGTAGCTGAACTCTGACATCCCAGCTCATGGGGGCAAGAAAAAGGTGAATGTCTCCTTTGAAAAAATACATAAAAGTCCTCTCATGACCTCCTGAAATCCTCTCATTACAAGTTTGGAGTGGTCTCGCCCAGACTGTGACTCATTGGTAGAGCAATTTGCTACAGTAGATTAACAATCAGGAAATACATATATGTGAGATTAGAAGTGAGGATGTCTCATTGCATCCTGAATTCATTTATATCTGGATTTATCAAATCGTTTTTCATCAATGGTTTTTTCTTGAATTGGCTTTCTTAAATAACATAGCGGTGTCGAACAGAGAAATACTGTATGTTTTTCACTTTTGCTACTTAGTGTAGTTGTTTATATGTTATGTTTTGATATATTCATTTTTTAGAAAAGGTTATGCTATTGAAGTCAGACATGCAGAGTGCACTCAGAAAGTAGAAAAGACTAGTCTGTGTAGAGGGAACAGTATGTACCACCACTCAGTATTCAATGCGATATTTCATTTTCCTTTTCAACATAACAAAATATGAAAACATATTTTTGAATGCACTGTATTTAAAAAGCAGTTTGTTATTTAAATATCTGTAATAAACCATTTTGAATGGAGCTTGATTTGGATACAACATGAACATCTTGTAGAAACTCATAGTGCAGTAACTTTTAATAAGCAGATTCAGCCTTTTCATAAACCTAAATCTTTAAACCACTGGAACTTACTGAGAGTCACAAAATGTCATGTACTGTATGTAGACTTCTCTAGGTATCGGGAAATAAGTTATTAATATAAAATTAGTTATTTTCAGGAGAGCTTGAGGCATCCAACATAGTTTTATTAAAATGCAGTTTTCAAGCTAATTGAAATCCAATTAAAACCTAATTAGACAGCTAGAAATGACATTTAGAAAGCCCCCCTAAGAGTTTAAAAACATAAAAACACTTCAGTATCTAATTAAAAGAATATCACAGATGATGCAGTGTGGTGTTGTGTCTGTACTCCCTGTGAGATGTGTTGTCAAGGTTGCTCAACCACAGCACAGCACTCAGCAGTCTGGAAAGCCCTGCTCTGGAAAACAGAGATGGTGTGTGACATTTATTGGACGCAGTCAGACTGAACTTGCTCTGTATGACCTTGGGTCCACTTCTCTCAGCACTCACTGTAATATTTCACTTTTTTTTTCTTTGTTTACCTCTTACAGGGGTGCATGAAGAGAGAAAGCCAGACAGCTGCAGCCGCTCATGTTGTTTGGAGTCCTCGTTCTGAAAGGCAGCTGCAGATGTGTCTGTCTGGGATCTTGTGTGCATGGTTGTGATGCTACTGAAATATCCGGACAAAGACAAATGTCACATTTGATTGTTGACAGCAGTGTTTATCAGAGGCCTAATTGTGGTCTAATAGCTGCAGGATTCAGGAAGTGGGATAATGGAGTTAGGCTGGTGATGGATGCACTTCTATCAATCTGCTTTACTGTAGAAAAAGCACTCCCTCTGCCACATTTTGTGGACTTCACAATGTGTTTCCATAATGACCAGTTGCCATTATCCTCAATCAGCACAGACCTCTAACTCTACACTCAGAGGAAACTCCTACACCACACCCAGCGGACATAAACACCAAGCTTTCTACTGGTCAATTTTCATTTATATACATCTTGTTGTCATGGCCTCAAAACCTCCTCTTTATTTCATGGGCAGTCCTATTAGAGAAGTAACTGTTCATAACTTTCGATTGCTGCAAAAATGTCCAATGCAGCAACTCCCAAAGAACCAGCTTTACATGTGTGTATGTATGTGTGTGTGTGTGTGGGCTGTATGTAGAGAAAACCAAAATATGTACCTTATCGTGCATGGACCAGCACCAATTGATGTATTTAATGCAGGGGTCTATAAGGGCTCAGTTTGATTATCTCTCTTAAATCTCTCCGAACAGTATCCTCTTAGTGTGTAGCTGACAATATCAGCTATACTTTTCTGTCCTCTGTCTCAAGTATGTTTGACATTACTGATCAGCTTTCATTTGAACCAAACCCAACTTTTTTTATTCATGCTTTATGCTGGTAACTGCAACCTAAGGTACACGTTTTTTATGTTTTACAACCATTTTCTGGCCTGAACGGGCTGATTATTATCATGAGAAATAGGTTGGCCATGTCTACAGTATATGGCCAAACCTATTTATTTATGTATTATCACAAACTTCTACATCATCCACAACCAATGTCATAAAACACAGAAAATCTGAAAATCCTCACAAACGATAATTTGGAACTACATATTGTTTGTTACACAAATCACGACAAACACATATAAATGCAGGATGTCAGAAAATGTACTTCAGTGTTACCCCCCACCACCTCATAAACCAAATCTACGCACTTTATGTGGCATATATATTCATGTCCGTACTCCACTGTGTGTCATTGCAATTGTCTTCATCTTCTGCTGTATGTATGTGTCTGCATAATTTTGTTTGTTTGTGCGCCTAGTGGTGCATCTACCTCTCGTGCCTGTATGTTTTGGCATTGTAAGGATCAGATTATTCCAAATCTCTCTCATCTCTCTGTCAGCGTCATAACCTGCTTTATCTACTCGCTCTGCCTTTTTAATTTTTTTTGTCTCTGAAATAAAGGCAGATGGCAGCGCTGCCCAAAACAGGGGATAATAATGATGTGGAGACGAGCTGCGGCGGCACTTCCTGCTCAGGCCGGCAGGTTTAGCAGTGCGCTGTGATGGCAGATATTTTGTGAATTAGGGTCTGGGCGGAGGGTTTATCTATTGGGACTATGAGGCAGAAACAGTGTAATCCCAAGCATCATTACATCATAACCCTCCCCTCACCCATCATTCATCCATATTTCCAAGGTCAGTTGGGTAACATCCTGTCTGTACTGATAATTTGAGAGATTGAAGTTCCTGCAGGGATGTATCACGATGAGTGGTGGGATTAATGGATTTCAGATTGATTGGTGATGTCAGTGGTTTACAGAAGATTAAGTAAATGAGCACCTGCAGGATGTGTGAGCAATCGACAGGAATCCAATCATGCTTTCACCCTGCATCTCATTATTTTGTTTTCCCATTAGCCAGAACATTGTATTCTCTCTGAAAAATGGATTATAACTTAACATCCGGATCACCAGGCACCACGTGGACCTCTTAACTCGCAACTGGAGAGCAAACTGATCGATTCTCAGCTACAAACAAAGTGAAGCATGCAGTGAATTGAGGCTTCTTAATATTTATTATGATATCAAAATAAGTTCAGTTACTCAAGACAACTAAAGCAGATCCTGAATCTGAAATACAATCAATCCAATTGTATTTATAAAGCCCTATATTGCAAATTACACATTTGTCTCAGGGGGCTTTACAGTGTGGACAGCACATAACACCCTCTGTTAATAGAAATATTATCCAGTTATTTAAGACTTTCAGCTCCACTTATGTGTTTCTCCCTCTCTCTTTTCCACCAGTTCGCTACCTACTGAAGAAAAACTTGAGTCCAGACCTCTGCAATGAAGACGGCCTCACCGCTCTGCACCAGGTAACCATGTCCGATTCTTTCTCCTCCGGTTTGTCTTACTATCTGTTTGATTTCTCCAAAATGGTGGCACAGGTGGCACCATCTCAACAAAAACAAATATGATGCCTTAGTAGAAACACCATCAGGTGGTTGTAATGTCTACTAACCACCAATTTGACGGTTCGATCCTGGGCTTCTTATTTCCATATTATGCTGTTCTTGCAAAACAATAACCCTGTAATGTACTCCTAAAAGTTAGGTCAACTTCATTTCTGAATGATTAGGTAGAGAGCATTGGTGGCATTTAGTACCCTTCTCTCTTCCACCAATATATGATGTCCTTATATAATTTAAATAAAGGCATTTATTTTAAAATGCTATCACCCTTTTCAGTGAAGCTTTGTGTGCATCATAACATAGTCTACTGCTTTTCCAGGATTATTATTATCTCAGGCTCTATTCTAAGTTACTGAATAATTTAAATATGCTATTTGAATAATAAGCTTAGGCTTTATGCAGCATTTTATTAAACATAATATGTTTCTGTTTAAGTCTGATAAATAAAATATTGGACGCCAAACAAAGATTGACACATGACTGGATTTTAATATTTAAATGACATTTCATATAAAGTACTGAAGACTTAACTTTGTATATACTGTATTTTTAAAATGAATTTATCTATGTGTTTGATGTATTCTTATGTTTATTATTACCTGGATTTTCTTCTGGAGCAGTAACACATGTGACTCTTTTCTGAATCAAGTAACCTTTACCATTTAGTCTTTGTTGAAATATAATGAAATCATTTCACGGTGTGATTAGTTTGCAGCTGTAGGAATTAAAGTCCCTTCTGCATAATAGTGTTGAGGCTTTCTGACACTGTAACAAATGCTTTTAACTAGTGAGGAAATGAGTTCAGTATTAGGGAAATTAGTCCATTTTGATGCAGGAAACTGATAGGAAGGAGATCAGGCCTATTTTCACTTGCTAATTAGAGCCATTACTAACATGCATAATAGTCAGAGCTTCCACCCCATCCGAATCAATGCTCCACATCACCTCTGACTCCAAACTGCTCAATCGTCTGTGTACATAAAGCAGCCTTTTGCGTAGTAAAGTTGTCTTTCATTTCCCTGACTTCTAGCCTTTTGATTTCATTGCAGTGTAGCCAATATGTGTACAAACATTTGATATGTATATATACAAATAAATATATAAGACTCAAACTTCGTACAACCAGTAAACTCAAATCCTTGAAACCCTCTGACAAAGATAGTCTTTGACTCTGTCTGAGCCCACGCTAGTAGTCAGTCTTTAGTAGAGAATAGTTTTCAATGAATTCTGGCAAAAAAATACTTTTAAAAACATAGGAAAAGGGTTGCCGTATCATCCATCGAGAAGACATTTGCCTTCAGTAGGAGGACATTTAACAGTTAAAAGTTAAATCTCAGCTACAAACAAGTGAGGCATGCACTGAAGTTAGGCTTCTTAATATATATTCATCTGTAAAAAGAAATAGTTATTCAAGACAAATAGAGCAGGACCTATATCAATCAATCAATCAATCAATCAATCAATCAATCACATTATTTATAAAGCCCAATATCATAATTACACATTTGTCTCAGAGGGCTTTACAGCATATGACAGTAAAATACAACTGTTTTCCAGGTATATTAGACTTTCACCTTCACTAATGTGTTTCTACATCTCTCAGCCTGAAGTGCAGGAGTCCCAAAGACTTTCAATAGTATGAACTATCAGTGCGTTGCAGACCTGCAGCAGCTGATATACTTTGTCTTGTTAATGTGGCAGGACTGGCTGTATTTCTGCCAACTCATCAGTCAGACTCAGGATAGTTTCTTTGGACAAAATGACTGACCATGTCTTCACTGCTGTGCAATTCTACTGCACCCTTTAAAAACGTTTCCACTTATCCTTCATTGCTCCACTAATTGATAGCACACATTATCCATGCTGGTTAACCTTTAAGGCTTAAAAAAAGGTCTAGCTGTATGATACAAATGTATAAACTAAAAAAGTTAAGAAATAAAATACCAAGATTGGCCTAAACACTATAGACCAGGGGTAGCCAACACGGTGCCCGCGGGCACTTAGTCGCCCGCAGGGGCAACGTGAGTCGCCCGCGGGGCATGTTCTAAAAATAGCTCGCCAAGCAAATCCAAAATGTAAAAAATACACAAAACAAAAAAGGAAATGTAATTAAAAATAATCTACCCTCCCTATGAATAAACGAAACCTCAATCATAGCGAACTCTATCTACTTACTACAACTCTATATCTATCTAACACCCCTCCTCCTCCACCCCCACAATGAATATCGACCAATCACATTCTTGCTTGATTTGCGGGACCAGCGTTGCAGTCGGGAAGAAAAGCAATGTGGAGCGGCAGATCCCCGCTTCATAAGGAGTGTGACCGTGATTTTCCTTCTGGCAGAATCTACACAACACATCAGCCCCATTGAACAGCCTAGTCGTGCCAGCCTATACAGCACATGAGGGGCAGAGTTTTACTCTGTTCGTGTCGCAACTTACATATTTATTTATTGCACTTGACGCACACACACGCATGGCGTAATTTCCACTGGGGACAGGGGGGACATGTCCCTCCCACTTTTCGAAATCCCGTTTGCGTCCCCCCACTTTACAAATATGTTTATTATAATTTTTTAACGCAAGCCGTCATCGCCACGGAGGAGCACTCAGCCTCTGTGAGCGAGCGAGACAGAGAGAGAGAGAGAGACAGAGAGAGACAGAGAGAGAGAGCGAGCGAGACAGAGAGAGAGAGAGAGACAGAGAGAGACAGAGAGAGAGAGCGAGCGAGACAGAGAGGAAGAGAGAGACAGAGAGAGAGAGAGCTAGGGAGAGCACACCTTTATCTATTTAATATAGATAAAGTAAGAAATCATTCCAATGTGTACTATAGGACAGTAACAAAAACAAAAAACAGTTTAAAAGGGGAGTGATTAGTAAAATATGCATAAATAGAAATAAAGAATACTAACTAGGTAATGATTTGTTATTGGTTGTGATCATATTCTAAAGATGTTTGGATTATTGAAAAGTATACAGCTCTCTTGCATCTGAGTGTTGAGAGCTGTATCCATCAATTCATGTTGTGCTCAAATTCATGTTGTGCACCAGATTGATGCATTTAACTTCAACATTTAAAAAAAAATCTTCCCCTAGTGGAGGGGAGGTCCACCCCCAAATAAAGCAGGTTAAAATAATTAAATGTAATATATTTTCTTTTAGTAAACACTGAAAACGGGTCCCACAGACCCAAACAGCACACAAAGGTTAAAGGTAAACATATAATAATGTTAAAATGTGCTAAATATATACACTGCAAAAAACAAAAAAAAGAGGAGTAAAAGTAGCTCACGACTTGTTTTCTTTTTTGAAAGTAGCTCTCATCCTAAAAAAGGTTGGAGACCCCTGCTATAGACACTAGAGACCAGGGGTGGGCAAACGTTTTGGCTTGGGGGCCACTATGAGTTTTAAAATGTAACAGACGGGCCGGGCCAGTAACAGAAAGGTGAAAAAATATTTAGCTGTCCACTACTCATTAAACACTCGGCACTCATTGTCGACTTTTCTTTTCTTTGGTCCACTCATGTTACAGATGCAGGTTCAAAGGTGAGTTATTGCGTCATCGTTTGCGTCATGACGCTTACGTGCCTTCTTATGACCCACACAGCGTTTTACGTCGCTGATTTTCTCTGCAATACCAACATCAATAGAGGACTGCGTCGGGTAGTTTTTAATCATACGAAGCCAGATTAAATTAAAGAACTACTTCTCCAACCTTATACCTTTCTCCAGAGTGCCGTGGTGCATTGTTTATTAATGTGGTTCAGTGGCATTTACCGACTGCTGCAGTGCTGCTCGTGCACCAGAGTTTATTCTACTCTACTGTTAACTCGTGGCAGCGGCCGCTGTAAAGTATTCACTGTCTGACTGTCACACAAGCAGCTGATACATATCCCCCATCCCCATAAGTGAATGTGTTTCAGTCTGAATTGACGCTGTTTGGCATCACAACGCTGTCATAAAAGTTTCTCTGGCATTCTACAGGTGATGTTAGCATAGCAACCGAAGCTAATCAGACTATCTCGACTACTTGTTGCTATCATATTGTGGCATAAACCGTTTTCTACACAAAATAAACAGAATCACACTAAGCTGGTTAGTGTTGCCTGACTTTATATAAGTGTTTTTTATAAGTGTGTGGTCGCGTTCTAGTCACTTTTCTCAGCGCTACTCAGTTAAAACTTGTATTCGCTGTACTGTACTAAACGTGAACTGTAATTGCTCAGGTTAATCTTGACCCCCTCCAATGTAAGCGTGACGTATTTGGTTCTTAGATCTGGCCGGGTTGCCGACTCCAGCAAAGGTCATTGTTTCTAGAGTGCGCCATCTAGTGGGATCAACTGAAATACCGCGTATTGCAGGAAAAAGGCAAAATGAATGCGGTCTTTACTATAATTTGGACAATTTTGTACCAATATTCGGCGGGCCGGATTAAAAAACCCAACGGGCCGTATATGGCCCGCGGGCCTTAGTTTGGCCTTACATGCCTGCTATAGACAAATCTAAGATATCTGTAAAACCAGCACCTTCACTCATGTCGATAAAGCAATAGCCAGAAAATATATACAGATGATACAAAAACAGCTGAGGGCAAAAACCCAACCTGTAAACAAAAACAAGCTTGATCCATTTTGTTTCTTCTTCATGCACTGAAATTGCTGGACAAAAACTTATGAGTAAACCATTTTTTGTCACTCTTACATGGAGGTGTGAATATCTTGATGTTTACTGTGTAGAAAAACACCAAGTTTTCTTAAACCCTGATGTTACACTCCGAGGTAAAATAAAAACAAATCAAAAGCCTTCTTGAAGGGTGGCAACCTAAAGCATTTCAAAGGCGGGGATGCTCATTTATTACCTCAGTTTCTTCTCCGTTTTTCATCATCTCGTCTCATTGCTCAC